CTATCTATCTATCTATCTATTGTCCAAAGATTGCACATGGGGAAAATGTAACTTCCTACAAGACAACTCATTAAACAGTTATTTTACAAAACCATGGCAAAATCCTTACAGGTGTTAAAGCATCTTTCAGCCATATAACTGTTGTGTGTTTCTGTTAGTCACTTTCCAGTGCAACTCTGGTGGTGTGGGTGCAGTGCAGCAGAGCTGGCTCCAGATCTGTGAGTAAAACAGTTAAACACAATATCACACAGTTTGTCAGGAAAGAAGATAATAATAAACCAGTGTAGCAAGAACAAGGATTGTTAACAGCATTTTTCTCTTCACTTGCACAATTGAGACAACTGTTTCTGAATTCAGTCGCTGTTTCGGTCTCTTCAAGGTGAACGAGTCTGTTGAAGTTTTGGTTGAAAATGTGAACGATAACCCGCCAAACTTTGCACAAAACCACTTCGTGCTGGAAGTAAATGAGGTGAGTAGTGTTTGTGTATCAGTTGCATGTGTGTGAGTTTCAGGCTGGACATGTTGATGTTGAGTTTTGTCTCCTGCAGCTCGCTCCAGTGAACTCCACAGTTGGACTGATAGAAGCAACGGACGTCGATTCAGAGCCCTCTACTATCGACTAGAGTCTGGCAACAGTTAAGAATGTAGTCTAACTGAATGATATGGTGATACTGGACTGTACTCAGGGATTACAACAATCAGTTACTGCGTGTTTTTCAAAGGACCAGTGGTGTAATAGGAGGATCAATTGTCAGAAATGGAATATAATATCAATAGGTACGTTTGTATTAGTGTACAATCACATGGAAATAAGAATTGTTGTGTTTTTGTTACCTGAGAATAAGCTGTTTTTATCTATAGAGGGAGCAGATCTTCTTCTATGGAGTCCGCCTTGTTGATTCAATATGTTTCTACAGTAGCCCAGAACAGACAAACAGTACACTGAAGGCTACTGTTTATTCAGTTGGTTGTAATCTGCAACTTCACTGCGAGATGCCACTAAATCCTACACACTGGTCCTTTAAGACAGTGGTTCCCAACCTGGGGGTCAGGGCTTATGATGATTGAGGGGATAAAAGAGATAAAAAATTCAGTTAAAGTTTGAGCATCAAGGTTTATTCTCATCTTTGGGAACATGTCTGCAATATCACTTTAATAGACATTATAATAAACAACTAATGAGTGACCTTAAGTTAACAATATTTTATCTCAAAATTCTTTGAGGGCGTAATTTTTTTAGTTTATAATTTCTTTGTGCAACAGTAAGTTAGATAGTATTCCCTACCATTATTATGCAGATGACTCATCAGATTTATGTCCAATTAAAAACCAGTGAAAGGACTTTTCAAGTTTTCAGAACTCACTTTTCAAAACCTATATTTTAGAAAAGAGCCCGCTTGGCTTATTGAAACATACTACAACAAGTTTTTAGCAAGACATTTTTCAGCAAGAAGCTATTTCTATATTCTGCCTGCCATCGGGTCAGATTTGGTCAGATTCTTATTGAATTCAATGAAAGGAGATGGTGGAAACAATACCCCCGATGGCTTTAACTTGGTGAAATGTTTTAATCTTGTTGTTTTTATTGTAAAGTCCTTTGTAACTTTGTTATGAAATATGCTGTATAAATGTAGTTTTTATACTATTATTATTATTATACTGTTATATTATTTTATCTTACATATATGTATGTTTTCTGTCTGTGTCTGGTAAACCAGGATAAATATTTCCGCCTAGAAAACATCAACACTCCAAAGATAATTGTTAAAAGCATCCTGGACTACGACGTTGTACAGAAGATCTCTCTGGTTTTACATGTGCAGGTACAGTAATCCTCTATAAAAGCAACATCCAGGCAGCTGCTTCTCTTTTACCTTTGACCTGTGAAATGTGTCACATATTCCAGGACACGTTCAACGGTTCGGCCTCCAACGAGCCTTTCTTCACATCTGTGGCCTCCATCACGGTGAACGTGAAGGACGTTGACAACCGGCCCCCGTGGTTCCAGCCTTGTTTGAGGACCAACTTAGGAATCGCCAAACTGTGTGTGAGCACCGGCTACAAAGGCAGAGTCAATCTCACCGAGAAGGAGGCGAGTTCCCACAATGATGTTCTCAAAGTGTTAAAGCTGAGATTCATCCTGGCTGAGATGTTTACAGACAGTAGATCAGAGACAAATGAAACAGGGTTGAGATGACCGACTGGCACTTCTCATACAAGCAAAATGGAACACAAATTACTTTTGTTCATGGGGTGGCTGGGTGGGTTAATGGTTGTATTAAGAAGGTCCTTTGTTAAAACTCTACCCGATCAGCTAGGACCTGGCAGTTCAGGTGAAAGGGGAACTCTAAAGCAGTGGTTCCTAGCCTTTTTTCCTTAAGGGACCCCTTTTCTATTATTTTTTGAAACTGCTGATGCCTGCCTAACTGACATATTTAATGGATATTATTTATTATACCACCATGTTTCTACAGTAGCCCAGAAAAGACAAACCCCAAAAACTGGTTCTAGATAGGGACGACCACCATAGTTTCTCCCTGGTGAGGGAGGGTAAAGCACAAAGTACATGTCCGGTCCTTAAACTCAGCTATCAGGGAATAATTGTTAACATTTTAAGGGATTTTCTTGGTGATAAACTTTACCAGTAGTTGACCAAGAGCCCCTGGGTCAGCATCAGCTTTGGCCTCTGTGAAAGTGTTTCATTTTTCATGGATGGAGCAGGTTCAGCTCGATCCTCCTCTGAAGGAACAAACATTGTAGGCTGCAGCTTTCAAAGATACGGATGCAAATTAAAATCTCATTTGGTGGTTTTAACTTCATCAGTCCACCTCCATAACGCATACGTCAGTATCTAATGTGATAAGAATAATACATTCAGTCACTTGGCAGATGGAAGGTATTCTTATGCAGCTTCACAGATAGTGGTGATAGATGCTAATGAAACAATGAAAACTGTTGCTTCATCTATAACCACCGCTGGGAAGTCACGTGTTGAGAGCTCATCAGATGTTTGCTGTTACAGGGAGAAAATGTCTGAGAATAAATGAGAACATATGCAGGCTGCAGAATCCGTGCATGATGATTTTAATCCACAGGAAGGGCCGCTGGTGCTGGAGCCTGGTCCGGTGTTTGCCAAGGACGGAGACAAGAACAGGAGCGAGCAGATCAGCTACAGAATACTCCGGGGTTTGAACTCAACCACATATTTAAACAATTTTTTTACTCACCACCCACTGCAGGTCTCTTTTATGATGTAGACATACATTAATAGGATTTTACTTTACTAATATCACTAGGAGTAGCAGCAGTAATCTTAATCTTTTCAACGCCTTTGAAGATTTCATAGACATCCGGTTACAAAGTGAAAAAAGAGCAACTCATCATAAAAACAAGACAAAAATAAGTGTTTGCAGGGCTTCATTTTTATGGATATTTTGCATTTAAACATCTGGAAACATTTTGAAATCTTAAAGGCCCTGAAAACATATTTTCAGAAACAGCTTCTTACTGTGAGTGAACATTTTTTGCTAAAGTTAGAACAGTTTTGGTCATTTCACAGTTTTTTCTCACTAGTTTGAAGTTGGCAAGGCTCAATTAGTAGAAATAAACTGATGTTGCCAAGTCAATCAGATCTGATCTGATCAAACCAGACAGTCCTGATAATAAATAACAACTAACTGCTTATTTAGTTGTGCATATGCATATTGCAGCCCTGTCTTAGAAATTACATTTATATACAACTAATGTGCAACAGCAAGATGTTTTGAGGGAAATATAATGCTGAACAAATTACGTTTTCTGTTAAAATGAAGATTGAATGCCTGCTGAAATATGAAGAACCCACTTTGGTCGATTTCACACTCGCCGATAAAGACAATACTCTTAAACTGGAAAGACTGAAATAAATGATGATCATGAATACTGTGTGTACTGTAATGAGCTGGTGGGGAACATATAAGGTCTTCCTGAATGATGTATTGATGTACTGATGTCTAAAGAAAATGAAATCATTTTTGTTGCTGATGGTGTTTTCTGTCTTCAGGAAATGAGGGAAATATTTTCCAGATTGATGAGGAAACAGGAAACATCTCCATGGCTAAAGCTGCTGATATCGTCGGCCCAATAACTCTCACAGTTCTGGTAAAACAAATTTTTTTTTTTTGTTCTGTTCTGGTTTTAAATGGAAAACAAAAACATGAAGCTCTTTAGTTATTGCAGTTAAGAGGCATATGAGCTTGGATGTAACTTTGGCCTAACTTTCCTGGCCATCAGGCGTCACAGGTGACCAACAGGGATCAGTTTGCGGTGACGCAGGTGACCATCGAGGTGATGAAGAAGAGCAGAAACCCTCCTCGCTTTGAGAAGGAGCGATACGAAGGATTCATCTACAGCAACTCCATCCCCGAGAGCATGATCCTCCGAGACCGGAGCACCAACCGGCCCTTCAGGGTCAGAGCTCGGGACGAGGACTTTGCCGCCGTGAGTGCTTTTTATGTGCAGCTATGTTAAACTTTTAAGTTTTATTTTCAAAACTGTTCTCGCTATCAGTCTGTTTTGAAGGTACCTTTAGTTAAAGCTGAATTAGATAAACATGAAAACCTATTTCCTGGTTTTGGCTGGACACTGGATTGACTGGATTTGCTAGTGAGGTGAGCCAATACAATACAATAGTACAATAAGCCAAAATATAATAAATTCAAACACTCAGAAGGTCAATCAAAATCTAAATCTAAACTGATAACAACCCATAAAAATGCTGTTAACCCAGAGATAATCAACAACTCTATATTAACAATGGCTCAGATGAGTAATAAGGGACAGTTCGTAGTGACAAACCCACAGAGATTTATCACCATCTCTGCAGTTCTTCTCAGCTCTTTGGAGCGTTTTCACAGCTCTTATTAGCTTTGTCTCCAGCAGCTGTTTTCAGAGGGAAAGCTCTAATAAACCCACTGTACCCTAACCACCAAACAGCAGACGGACACAATTAGAGAATAGCAGGTGAACACTGTGGAGCACACTTGGTCTCTAGAGCTCATTTCCTCATTCATGACAACCATACGGGGGGTGAATATTTATACAACTCACCTGTTTAAATTATATTAAGGCTTAAAGTTATGTATAATTAAGGATGTGGACTCTTTGAGTGACAGGTGGCTGTTTTCAGTAACCAGGCTTCATTCAACCCGCCTGAGCTCCACATGTTTGCTCAGTTTTGGATTAGCTGGGAGTCGGCAGAGTCAGGACTGTCAAGACGGCGACGGCCAGAGCTGACCGACGACTCCTCAGAAACCTCTGGGTGACGTCGAAGAAGACTATGTTTATTTTAATTTAAACAGTCAATGGTTCACACACAATCTCATCTTTCAGTCTGCAACTGCAGATTGCTCTTGTAAGAAAACAAACTCAGATAACTGAAGCGTTCCCTACCTGTGCAGAACCACATGGGAGGAGAGCCAGATCATTTTTCACAGAGTTGATGGAGACCAAATCAGAGATAAACATACAAAGAATTCAGCATGTTGAAACAAACACGATTCCAAATGAGAGATAAAGTTTCTCCAAAACAAACTGATAAGCTGATGGTAAATCATGTCTGTGTTTCTGTGGGTTTGTTCTGGTAGCTGTCTGTCGCCTAGTGGTCAGAAATCACTAAATGAACCTTTAAATAACGTACGACAAGATCTCGAACCCTTCAATCATGTTGTTTTGTGTGTGTCAGGGTTTGAATCCAGATGTGAAGTATGAGGTTCAGTACAGCAGCTACGTCAACGTAACCTCAGATGGTTTTGTGATCCTGAAGAGAGTTGTGAAGACGGAGTCCTTCGCGCTTCAGGTAACAACAGATGTGCAACACTGAAATATCTTTTTTATATTTTATATATTTTTAAGATTTTCATTTAAATAAGTGTTAGGTCCAAATGAAGTAATGGCGACTGAGCCTACGGTCCCCTGATCAAAGCCTGTGGAAAAATCACAAGCGGTGTTAGTTTTCCGTCACCCAGCAGTGGTTGATCTACCAGACAGGGTGGGCGGAGCTAACAGACTCACTCTTCAACTCCCTTCTGTGTGAAGCAGCACGCACGAGTTTCTGGGTCTGTAAAGTGTCTTAAACCTGCATTCTCTGTAACAACCAGCAGGGGGCAGCTCCACTGGTTGCAATAACACACAGATACCATTCAGTCTTATGGAGAAATGAGTCGACTTCTCAGTTGA